TATTTAATTTGTGAATTAAATAGTTAGTTTATAAACTATGACATTTATAAATGTATGAATCATATGGTGAAAACTGACTTTGAAAAATAAATCTGTTCTTTTTTTCTTATAAAAGGCTAAATAAAACATAAATATTGGTGGTAATTTTTGGCTGTGTAACTTTACAAACAGCACCCTATGGAACTCATATTTGAACATTAAGCTTAATTTTTTTCCCTTCAGATTCCCAACAACCTGCCGTGCTCAGTCTCTCTGCAGCCCGGGCCTGACGACAAGGGGAAGGTATGTGTTGTTAACACTTTCTTCACAGTATTAAGTCATGAATGTAACGTGGTGAACTGCTCTCTGCAGGCTTGTGGCGTGGACTTTGAGGTGAAAACTTACCTGGCCAAGGAGAAGGACAACCCCGATGAAAAGATTGAAAAGAAGTGCGTAAACTTTCCATTCCGGCTCCCATTTTACCCRAGTGTGCATCACTAATCTGCTTTTCTTCTTCTCTCGCCGACTTACCAAAACAGGGACACTGCTCGTCTCGTCATCCGCAAAATCCAGTTCGCCCCGTCTCAGTCGGGCCCAGGGCCCAAGGCTGACATCTGCAAAAGCTTTATGATGTCCGACAAACCCGTTCATTTCGAGGCATCGATGGACAAAGATGTGAGTGGCAACATTTTTTTTTCATCTTCCAGAGGAGCAACAATGAACAGGTTTCATTTCTGCTTTCCCTCAGCTCTACTTTCATGGTGAGGCCATCCCAATCAAAATCAAAATCAATAACGAGAGCAACAAAACGGTGAAGAAATTCAAAATCACCGGTGGGTGCCTTTTATTAAAAACAACTGTTGTTGCTACAACTGTCATTAGCGCACAACCTGACTATCTGCTTTTTTTTCTTACAGTGGATCAAACCACCGACATCGTTCTCTACTCAGCAGACAAATACACCAAAACTGTCTTCTCTCAGGAGATTTCGTATGTCCTGAAAAAAAAAAAACACAGAAAGCCTCTCACCAGTCCAAGAGTGATGTGTTTGCTTACTGATTTGTGTTTTAACGGGTTTCAGGGAGACCGTGGAGCCCAACAGCACCTTCGAGAAAACGGTGAGCATCATKCCCAATCTGTCTGACAACAAGGAGAAAAGAGGGCTGGCCCTGGACGGGCGGCTGAAGGACGAGGATACGAACTTGGCCTCCACCACCATGTCAGTGCGCCGCGTAAAAAACAAACAAGAGTTTACTTTTAGTTGCAACTTATTTCCAGCAGCTCAGCGTCTGCGTTAATTGYAGCACCCTTGACTAAATTAAACCCGCTAATCCCTTAAACCCCTCTAATTCCACCTTCACAGGTTGAAGCAGAACATTGATAAAGAGGTGCTGGGCATTCTGGTTACCTACAAGATTAAAATTAACCTCATGGTGGCTGGAGCTGGGTGAGTCTGTTTGTCTGAATCATTTTTGTCATAAGTAAACTGAAAGATTACCTTAAAAACTGACACTGTCCCTCTTCTCTGCAGCCTAATGGGCTCCCTCACTGCCAGGTAAGCTGTCTCTCTATTACAGCTAATTAACAAGGACTGCTAAATGTTCCTCGATGCTGATTGGCTGGTTTCTTTTTCCTGTGCAGTGATGTCACTGTGGAGCTGCCCCTGAACCTCATGCACCAAAAACCTCAAGGTCTGTTTGTCTAAAAACACACAGGTTACAGCTGACTGATGATTCCACACTCTCATCCTAACTTTGACTTCTTTTTAATCCCTCCAAAACGAGCAGATTAAGAGCGGCACGTTGCTGTAAGTATTTCGTTTTGTTACCTTTGACATCATGAGTTWTACTTTATAAATTAAAACTTTACCCTTTTCTAGAGAGGAGGTTGCCCTGCAGGTTGAGAAGACGCCTACAGAAATTCAGGAAGAAATTCAAAGGATGTGAGGATAAAAAAAGAGAAGAATGTGACTGATGTTGGGTAAATTATCAATAAACGAGCAGCCGAAGAAGAAAGTCTTTTCAATGCAGGACCCGAGAATTTGACTTGAAACATTAGTCTCCCTTACAGCATTTTTTGTTTGTTTCTGTAGTGAGCTTGTTGTCATGTAGCTGTAGAGAATGTTTGTTTTTACAGAAACTGAATTCTGTACAACACTCCCAGAAGACAACCCACATCATTTTCACAATGTTACATCCAGAAAACTGGAAATACGTCTGAAGCCCATAAAAACCACTGTGCTTTGAAATACTGTGATACTGTTGAGTAAAAATGTTCAGTTTAAAGAAAAATTGTCAATTTTATTGGACTTATCAAACATCTTAATGTACAATAAAGTTACTTTGAAACCAATTTAAATTTGTGGCTTATTTATATTATAGGCATTTATATTTTARGCATTGACTACAAGAAGTTCTTTCTTAATAATAAAATAAAACGCACGTGTTAAAAATGACTTGTCACAAACAAAGCCCCAGAGAGGGCTCTATGGCAAAGACTTCCAACCTGGGGTACGTGAACATATTACTGTAAGTATGTAGAAAAAATTCCCAGRTGTGTAAAAAAATAAAGAAAAATGGGACTGATTTCCACAATACAGAAACTGCAGTCAGAATCATAGAAATAACATAAAAATTGAATCCAGTATCAAAGATGGAATCTCATAAAATTTGCTACTTTGGCTGAGTTTCTGATGTATTTTAGACAATAAAATGTATTTTAGATGCTGCTGTTTTCTGCACCTGCCATTACCTGGTCTAATTGTTCAATTACTTATTCACTTTCAAGGCAACATTTTTATCTTTATGTTTAATTTAAATTGAAAAAAAATTGAATAACTGAGGATTAAATGTTGTAGGGGGTTAAATAAAGAATTAATTTAATAATCAGTTGTAGTACATTATGGTTTTAGAAAATCATCATTATGGTTGACTGTAGGGGTACTAGTGGTATGACAAAATTGCTCAGTGGGTACATAAGTCTAAAAAGGTTGGGAGCCACTGGTTTAAAGTCCGGAAACATTGCAGTGCTTTCAGGACCTTAGACACTTCCTTCAGCCCTTCACACGGTTCAAGGTCCTGAAACATTGCAGCACTTTCAGGACCTTGGACAGTTCCTTCAGCCCTTCACAAGGTTCAAGGTCCTGAAACATTGCAGCACTTTCAGGACCTTGGACAGTTCCTTCAGTCCTTCACAAGGTTCAAGGTCCTGAAACATTGCAGCACTTTCAGGACCTTGGACAGTTCTTTCAGCCCTTCACAGGTTCAAGGTCCTGAAACATTGCAGCACTTTCAGGACCTTGGATAGTTCCTTCAGCCCTTCACATGGTTCAAGGTCCTGAAACATTGCAGCACTTTCAGGAACTTGGACAGTTCCTTCAGTCCTTCACAAGGTTCAAGTTCCTGAAACAATGCAGTACTTTCAGGACCTTGGACAGTTCCTTCACCCCTTCACAGGTTCAAGGTCCTGAAACATTGCAGCACTTTCAGGACCTTGGACAGTTCCTTCGGTCATTCACACTTTCTAAAGCAAGGATTCTCATCCACGTGGGCAGATTACAGGGGGTACGTGGAAAAATTTCCCAGATGTGWAAAAATAAAAATAGGACTGAGATATGTAGGACCCTATGATTTCCGCATTGTGGAAATTGCAGTCAGATCCACRAAATTAACACAAAATGGAATCCAGTACAAAAACTGGAATCTCATGGAATTTGCTCATTTGGGTGAGTTTCTGGTGTATTTTGGACAATACAATGTATTTTGGACGCTTCTCTTTTCTGCACCTGCCATTACCTTRTTTAATTACTTATTCACTTTCAAGGCAATGGCTTATCCTAAATTTCTCTTACTTTTGTTCGTACAAAGGGTTTGTACGAACATGTCACGTCAGATTCAACA